GAACGTGCTGATCCGCAATAATATTATTGCATAAGGACAGCAGACTAAAATCATTCGCTACTAATGTACTGACTGTGTAGCGTAGCTACACTTCGCGGTGGAAGTAAGGTGAGCTTATTTTTTGGATTTCGGTCATTTTTCCGTGCATTCCTGATAAAACGTCAGAAACGCTAGAGTGGAAGAGGCGCTTGGTGGGGTAGCGTGCAATCAAGAAGCTTTGAACCACTTTCAGGCCTTTGAAAACGACGAGTCCGTCGAAACGTCGGCCAGAATAAATATTTCCACCTACCAACCTCGAGGCAGAAGCAAAAACTAACGATTTCTGGTTAAAGAATTTCGGGAACAAAAAATGATCTACAATTACTGATAAAGTTTTTTTTTGAAAAATTGTTATACAGCACTGCATAAAGAAGAAATGAATTTGATGCGAAAAAACAACAATGCCACTAACTAACAAGCCAATCTGAACTAGTAAATTTTTACTCTTTCCAGACCATTCCATTGGCGCTGTAGGTATGTACTAAAAGAGCAATGCACAGGTTATACTCAAGGGAAAAGACTCTTTTCTGCTGGCCCCTATAGGTTACGGTAAGGGCCTAAAATACATTCATGTACACTACCTATATTCTTTAATAGTGATTTCAGGTGTAGCTCTGTAAGAAGGAACTGGCCGAATTCAGTCAGTTTTCATTGACTCCATGTCGCCTGCTCCATAATATCAAAAGAGCATAGAAATATCGATATTATTGATCGATTGTCAGTGATTTTGTAGAAAAAAGCATACCTCTGAGAATAAATCTCGAACGGGTCAACCCATGAGGTTTAGACTCTCCGTCACACTCTTCTGTTATTGTTAGCTGAAGCGAGAGGAGATCCAGAGGTGTTATGCAGCCCATAAGTGCCATAATAATGACACCATTACGGCCTCGACAAAGCACCACCAAACCTTTGTGTCGATGCGCTTTTTAGCTCCTGGCCACTCCTGGCAATTACTTAAGCTTCGGGCAAGATCGATGAGTCGCCCAAGCAAACACCATCCTTAAGTGTAATTGCTCTCTCAGCAGCATGTTAACGTATTTCAGTGGGCGGAGCCACCGGCGACTTTTCCTGTGACCACCCATCTCGGAAGATAATTGATCTCACTCACGGATGGTTCTGGGCGATAGCCAACCCGACCATTGATCAAACAACCAAATCTCCCCAATTGGGACCAAAGTACATCGATGTGGGAGAGTGCACGCGCACCTGCTCACCTCTACCCTGCCGCTATCCCAGCTGCTATTGTTTAGCAATCGCCCGCCTCACTGACGACTACCCACGTCCTCAACAGCCGGTCATTGGAATCCCAGCAATACTCTCGAATCTTCTGTCTTCATTTCCTCATGGGAACACGTGACAACTGGCTCGGGCGAATTTGTGCTTTTCTATTCAGGACTTTCTATCCTTCGTTCATTTTCTATTGATCTCGAGCTCACTATGTTGTTCTGGGGGGTATTCCCAGTTTATGTGATTCTTCTTTGAGGGGACAATAAAAATAAAGTGGGCACTGGGTTCTGCTACGCGACATTTTTCATTTCAGCCTTTATTAATACTGGGAGTCATTGTGTATAACGTGGGTGTTCCCTAGTGGTGCACCCAAATTGCCCTCACTTTGCCAGATTGTTCTAGATTACTGGCATAACACTCTCGTACGCATTGCCTTCCACTCTGCTCCAAATCCAGCCTTCAGCTCCTAAGCTCTCAACGGCTCAAACGGGGATTTGTTTCCTGTGCCGCTTAGCATATTGCTCAGAGAACTCCATCATTCTTTTGCCATTCACATTCGATTCCTTTGTTCGGATAACAAAGCTTCTCTCACTCTACGTCATTCCGTTTTTCAGACATCATACACATTGCATTACTTGATGGCTACTGAACAAAGCATTTGGAGCACTGCCAAAAACTTCTTCTCTTTGTCACCGAAAAAGCCAATTCCGAGCCCGGTCACTACAGGTAACCGATTATACTATTAAGAATTACTTGGCTATATTGGCATTAACTACGAACTGTCTCTATAGAAGTCAATCCCTCTTTAATTTCATTTTCGAGGGAAAGCCTTTGCTAGAGTGAGCTCCTTTCCTTTCTAAGTCGTTCTGTGGGTTTGTGAAATCAGCAAGCAAATATCCCAGCTGGTTTCCGTCCTGATTTTCTTTCTTCCCTCTCCTTGCTAGTTCTATGGCTTCAGACTGATTTTATGGACAAATATGGTAATTTTGTAGATATTATTAGTAGCATAGGTTTTTCTAAGCTCAAGGTCCTTGTACGCCTAGTCTGGGGATGTTATTATCTGCTAAGGCTTCCCATTCGGTATCTTTGCTCTCTGATGCCTCTCTAGGCCCTTTATAGCTTCTCAAATTGTTCTAATAACACTAGTGCTAATCTGGCTACACCCTGGGCGATGATCTCGTTCCATAGAGCAGACTAAGCTATAACGTTCTGTAGTAGAATGTAAAGCCCTTAGTAAAGCAAGTTAACAATGAGTGAATCTATGTAAGAGAAATGTAATGTTTCCTTTTCTTTCTCAAACAAGTCCGTTAAGGCTTTACCCTGACGACTGAGGAAATCGAAAGGAGCTGAAAGTCTGTCTTGAAGATTAAATCATTTTTTTCTATGGGAGTCAATAACAGGCCGCCTACCTCGACCTCGACCCCCTTGACCTCTTCGGGTATACACTGCCGACCGCCTAGTCTGTCTCATAACGAAACTGAGACACCTGACAATCTACACTTTCGTTGGCTCACTCGCTTCGATTTCGTAGTACAGCGCATTTTACGTAATCCCCGTCATTGATCACTGACACATGTGGCGGCACAGAAAGAAAAAAGTCCTTTATAAGCTTTTAAGACGATATTTTCCTATTTGCGTCATTTGACTGGACTGCTTTCGTCGTTTGATGGAGGCGGGACATTGCTATGCGTATTTATTTATCTATGTTTGTTTAATTATTTACTGCATTAGCTGTAATAGAGTTTTTTTTCCAAAATTTTCTCTAAATTCAAGAAAAGCTTCTGGATTTACGTCCAGAAGCGTGAGAGAAGGTTAGGTGGAAGGCTTTCAAAGTATCCATTGCTGATTTAATTTTAATAGTGTTCTCATTAACTATGTAAATTAAACCACGTGGCCTGCGGTAGTTCGAATTGGCTTGGTCCTGTTCTACGAAAGAAAAACGGCATCCAACCGCCAGAGGAATGCGCCCCAGCATTCGACTTCCATTTAGAATCGTTGTGACATATCGAATGCACATGTGGCCCATACAATGAATTGCGGTGGCCAGTCGATGTACAATTGATCGCTTTTATCCTCCCGGACACTGCTACCAATTAACCGACCCCAGAAACATGGAAGGCTTGGTTGGACTGGGCGGATATCGACGCGGGATCCGAACTCGTTATTCAGTTGTTATCAGTAGGGGTATAGCCAGGAAAGTTGCCTTCCTACAGTTCTGTAGACTAGCAATCGATAGGAACCAATTCTCTCATGGCTATGCCAAGGCTAAACTAACTTCCCAATCACTTGTCTGCATCGTGGGGGAAAGGTATTCGCACATTTTTAGTGCCACTTGTTAGAGTGGTGGAAGCTTTTTAAGAAAAATTAGATCTATGCAAAGGCCAAGGTCTTGGTGTAGTGAACAAGTGGTGCAGTAAGGCGAACGCCATGCTTCGCTCAACGAAGCTCTGATAGGTACTTGCCCAGCCTCCCATCCCTTTCAGGCGGGATAATTTGTACCAGGTTCGTCTGGGAACATGTAAGCATTCACTTGTGCATCGGCTCGCCACTGCAACTCGCTATTGGGCCCCATATGCATTCGATCTGTCCCTGCGATTCTGAACAGAAGTCAAACCGCGGGATGCATCCCGATGCCTGAATGATTAACACTAACGACCTTCTCTTATACAGAAGCTAAATTACTATATTAGTTTCGGCGTGATACGAAAGTGGTTTCCTTGAAGTTGTTGGATAACTCTGACTATTAGCCAAAAACTAGCTGCTAATTGAAACATTTTCAGAGCGCAAAGAGCTGTCGTTGCCGATCATTGTCGAAACGAGGCGCTCGAGTATCCCAAAGGATGCCAACGCTGACGAAGTCTACCTCTATGAGTTCGGCTCCCTGAACATGCCCTGACTGTGCCTGACGTTCCTCTCGAGATTCGCCTCAATGTGATCTCATCAATGCGCAATACTTCGAATTATATGCTCATTGATTGTATTACTAACTGTATTATATTGTATATTTTCTATATTGAACCGCATATTGTAACGATCACAATATTTACAACTCTCCTATTAGTGACTATAAGTCCTAGACTACTTGGAATCGGTCTATTTGATGGACCTCGTTCCAGATGGCTTTTTAATTCGTAGTAAATCAGTATAGTTCCCAGATCGATCTAGAATGTTTCTACTTGAGTAATTACTTCAAAATTGCTGGTATTTGTTGGCAGATTATTTGTTTGAGAAATAGGCAATAAATATCACTAACAAATGTTGATGTTTTATGATCTGCCTAGATGAGGGCCAGATTCAAGATGAGCCGCTGATGACCATAGGGGTATGGTGCAGATGGATCGGTCGAGGCCGACTTCGGCAGAACCCTGATCAAATTGGTATATAACAAAGATGAAAAGGGAAGAATTCCTCAATAGGAGTTGTATTCGGTCTTCTGTAATTCAAATTTTACACATTAGTAATATTAATATTAATATTAATATTACTCGTTTGAATTACATTCCATGCTTATATTGAAGCTAATTATTCGGAATCTATTCCGAGCAGTACTCCTTTTCCTTACTCATTTTCTGTGGAAGATGATACCATGGGTCCCTCACTGATCGACAGCCAAAAAGCTACAATGTTTAGCTGTGGAGCAATTCAGTTAGTAAGCCCGTAAAAGGCTAGAAGCACTTAGATCTCTGGCTGTGACTGATACAGCTGACTGGTCAGTTGTATCCGTCACAGTCAGAGACCTCACTGCCCTCCAAAGACTAAAAG